GCCACTTGCCACTTGCCACTCGACAACAAAGTGCTGGCGTTATGAAAACGAAAAGCGAATGTCCTCGCACCAGAGAAATAACAAGAAAAACAACAAAAACACAAAAATAGAAAAGAACAAAAAAAAAGTACAAACAAAAAACACAAAACTGACAGTGATTTTGTAATTAGAGCGCACAGCTAAAGCAGGGTGCTGGAGGGGGGCGGAGGAGGGCGGAGCAGGGCAGAGGCACGCTGTAAATGCGCCGAGTTCAGCATTTGACACGCACAGCAAATACATTCAGCTGTAAGTGTGTGCATCAGTGTGTGTGTGTGCTCCAGTGTGTTTGTGTGTGTATGTGTGTGTGTGTGTGTATGTCTGGGCAGCTCAACACCCAGCTAGATTTGAGTGAAGCGTACCAAATTAAGTAGTTTAGTGCTTTGTGCAAGCCCCAAGTATTGCTCACTGAAGTGGAGTTTATGGATAGTCGGGAATATGTGTATATGACAAAAGCTGTGCTAAGAGAAGCGAAGATTGCAGTGGTAGTGGAAGAATAGATAATAGAATAATAAAAGTGTAAATTTCGGCTCAATAAAATTTCTATTCTTCATTTTACATGATATAAAAGTTAGGTTAGAGAATGAATCAATCTCCATTGGAATTTTTATATTCAAAGCCAAAAGAATTGTTCTTTGGGCAGTGTGGGAATACGAAGCTGAAGGCGTGGCTACCTTAGCTCTCTATATACAGTAGAATTCCGATAGTTCGAAATGGCAATGGGATTAGTTTGTTTGTTCGATTTACACAGAAATTGAAATTAACGAGAAATAATTGGCAACGAATTTCTTGGAAGGACATAGAATTTTGGTCGATTTATTGCGATTTTCGATCTAGCTGGATACGAATTATCGAGACTCGACTGTATATATAATCTTTCTGTATAATCTTATACTCACTATGATCAATATATTCTAAATAACCTATATAAATGATATATGATCTATATATTCAAACTAGATCTTAGCCAATTGAAGTACTGCTTATAGAATACATAAAATCTTCCACTGACTCCGTTATATGTGCCAAAATTGCTGTAAGAAAATTGAATAGCATCATAAGATATCAGTTAATTCATGACATTATATATCTCATAGGAATTTTTGATAGTCGTAAAGAGTTCAGCACATTTCCGTTTTCCTCTAGGCCAAACTAAGCTCTGTGTTAAGAATATCACCAATTACTCTTCTTACGCACTCCAAAGATCCCTGAGAGCGGCACATCAAGATCTCAGCGAGTTCCAGGCCTTACCCATGCCAAAGGTACACGCCATAGCAGTGAATATTTCAGCTAGTTTGGTACACCTTATAAGATTCTCGCTTCTATCTGTGCCACATTTGTTCATATCATCAAAATTATCAGCTTGGCTGTCAAATTGACATTTCTATCTGTTGGCGCATGCCAGAAGCAATGAAAAGGGCAAGAAAGCTCTCAGTAGCTGTGCAGTTTGAGTGCTCCATAAAAAATGGACGCGAGCCAAGCGAGGTTTTTTGTGCAGCTGTAACGGCAAAATAATGTTTTTTTTTGTTGTTGTTTTGTTTTGGTTTCTTTTATATTCTCTTAACCACGATGTAGCAGCATCTTCCTTGCTTCCTTGCCACTTTGTGGTACGTGCCGCGGCATGGACATCACGCATACGCCGCATAAGCAAAGACAAGCCAATCAAGTGAGCCAACAGCAGCGGCAACGGCAACGGCAACGCCAAACGAGTGCATGCAACAACAAAGTGTTGCAAGTGCTGCCTGCTTCGTACTTACTTGTTGTTGCTCTGTAAAACCCATTGAGAGATAATAATAATAAAGAGAGCTTTGTCAGTTTTGTTGATGATTCAAAAGGAACATTTATTTAATTTGCTTTTTCTGTTTTTGTTGTTGTTGTTGTTGTTCATTTAGTTTTTTGTTGTTTTGCTTTTGGGCAAAAATTGAATTTCTGCATTTGCTTTTTTGCTAGCTTAAATTGCCAACCACCCACAGAGGTGGAGTTTTCCGGAAAACCCAAAAAACTGTCGCACGAATGAAACTACATTAAGTGTGTGTGTGTAAGAGTGTGCGTGTGTGTGTTGGGTGGGTAAGGATGCGTGTGTGTGTGTGTGTGTGTGTGGGTTAGTTTAGCAAATATTTATCCAATACACATACATAGTATACTAGGGGATACACACACATACATATATCTTAAGTTAGACAGAGACAGTGAATACATCTATATAAAAATTGGGCAGTGTTAAAGAGTGAGAGATGTTCGGAATCTGAATGTTGATAATATTTAGGTTTTTTTGCTTTGCGTTGCTTTTGCTGTGGCATGTGTGTGTGTGTGTTTTGTTTTCTTAAAAATACATAGAGAAAACCTAGTTGCTGCATATGTATTAGTCATCGTATCCTTTTGCAAAAGTTTTCGATTTCTCGGTATTTGAAGACGAACGCAAAAATAACAAACAAATATCCCTCTGAGGGATATTGTTGGCTATATTTGTTTTTGCTTTGCTTTTGAGTTGTTCAATTTGATGACAAAATATGCATACATAGATGGTACATACATGCACACATACTGACATACCTACATATATACATACATACATACATAGAGACATTCAGAAGTTAGAGAGTATTTGATATAAATATATTTATATATGAAACACATTCAGTTCGTTAGAGTTCTTAGTGAGTGAGTGGAATGCTATGTGCGTGTGTGAGGGTGTGTCTTTGTGAATTATCTTTAACTATTTAAAACGGTCTTACACTTAGCTGTGTGGTATTATTTGGTTTTCTTCTGTTTGCCATCTGCCTAGCAGCTTCACTTAGTCTATATATACTACATAGAGTTGAGAGATCAGAATCAGAGAATTATTAGTTTCTGGTTTTCATTATTCGTTTCTCAAGTTAGTTTTTTCTTTTTATTTTTGTATTTTTTTTTAGTGAGTATCTAGTAGTAGTAGTAGTAGTTAGTAACATTCATATTTTGGATACCTTCGAGTGCAAAGTAAAATTCAGTGTGCTTAGAAAGAAAACATATAGATGTATATATATTTATATATATATATAGTAGAGTGTTATAGCTTACATAGTTTGATGAAAAAGCAGTTGCTGGTATTTTCAAAGAAAAACATTTGCTTATACAGTATTTTTGATACATTTGTGTATTTCTCTTTTTTTTTATAATATATTCTGTAGTTTTTCTTTCGTCGATTTGGTTTTATTGCACATTTTAACAATTACAACAACATTTAATTAGTATTTCGTATCTGGTATTTCGTACTGCGTATTCTATGAATTAATTTCCTGTTGTTGTTGTTGTTGTTGTTATTTGGATTTCAAGTTTTTGTTTACTGTTTGCATGACTTGGGAGCAACTTTGAGTTGCCCTTAACTTTGAACAGAAATGCAAATAATAACATGAATAGAAACAGAAACTGGATACAACGTAACGCAACTTCAACTAAAACTAAAGCAGAAACAACAACAATAATATCTTAAGCTAAGCTGGAAACAGGACGAGCAGTTACAAAAAAAAAAAAAAAAAACAGCATAATCAAGAGCAGTAAAAACATAGAAGATACCCTGTAAAAACCGTCTAGACTTGGATAAGTACAGCTGAGTAGGCTTAGTGAGTGACGTGAGTTCAAGGAGCAAAAGTCGTCAGTCTTCCTTGAAGAAGTAGAAGAGCTTTGTGCGGTTGAAGAGCCTTGAAAGCTCTATTGCTTGGCGAGCTTAAGTTTCGATGTGAGCTTTAAGTATGAGGAGCTTTCAAAGCGCATGAATGCTCGGATATAGTTTAATATGATCCAAGAGCTTGACAAGCCAAGGTTTTAATAAGGACTTTTTATTTAAGGAGCTTTTAAGTTGTGTGAAAGCTCTCTTAGTGCTTGATTCTTCTCTTATATATTATACTTCGTCGATCATTGTTTAGGGCGAGCTTTCAGCTTAGGCAGCTCTGAAAGCACATTGAAAACAGGCCTGTCAAGCTTCTGATTTCTCTTTAATTAGCATTCACTGCATTCAGAGTTGAAATCTGATTGAAATATTCCCTTGCAGCCGCACAAGCGTCTAATAAAACTTCAGGCAGACTGAGTGAGCTGAATTAGTAGTCAGTTTTATAACTCAATTAGTGTGAAGCTGTGTGTGTGCATGTGTGCGCATGTGTGTGCGTGAGTGCATTTTATGAGATTTAATTTTGGGTTTGCTCAGCTTTGTCTCTAATGGAATTTCGTTGATAACTTTTCCAACTTTGACAATTGATTTGAATTTGCATTGCTACGTTTAACAATTGAAACAAATTTACATTGTCTGCCTTTTCACCTGATTCTGATTCTGATACCGATTCTGATTCCGTTTGTGATTCTGTTACTAATTTGAACTTCAGCTGCTTCAGTGCCTCATATTGACTCGCAATCAGTCGAGATTTTCGTTATTTCTCTTATAAATATTCATATGTGATAATCATATATAATATAATAATATTTAAATGCTCGTTTGGTAAATAAATAAATAAATATATATTTCGTTTTTTTTTCCATAACAATTGAGGACAACATTTGAGAACAAAAGATTCCGTATTTTGTTGTCGCACATTTAAATCTATTCACTGCTCCTTCTCTCTCTCTCTCTCTCTCTCTCTCCAGTAATCTCTCCTCTTAGCTTTCTTTATTCGTCATATACACATTCAATAAAATATGCATTCTCATTCACATTCAAGTATCTCCCTTATCTCGTGCTCGAGGTGAATATCGATAAACGTATATCTATATATACAAATACATATAGTATATGCCTTGTAAGCCTGTGTACTTGTCTGTATTCAATTTCTAGCTACTTAATGCTCAACTGTACTTAAGCACTTGCATTCCAGCAAATGTATTTGCTTTAATTATCAGGAAATCCTTTTTCGAAATACAATTGCCTTTCTCTTAAAGGAGAAAACGTTTCTGGGAACAGCACATCTCAAATGCCATTTTGTCTCTGGGGGTTGTTATTGACTTAATTGGTTTTGTTGTGCCACTTAGACGCCTTAACATTTACTTATATAATGCATTGCTATATACTATATTCACATACATACATACATTCATATACATATACATTCATAGAGAATTTGGTAACAGGTAATTCACATTCAATTCTCACATTTAAAATGTAAAAGTTTTCAATTAATTTATCTCACGTAAATCGTAAATCTATCTCTTTCTCTTTCTCTTTCATTCTCCATCTCCCTCATTCAATTGAATACTTAGCCTGCAGTGCTTATCAGTTAGTCAGTTCATCATCATCGTCATCGCCATCTTCGTCATCATCATCGCGTTGCTTAGATATACATGCCCAAATCGACGTGAAAGTCCTGCAGATAGGACAACAGCTGCGAGGGCGTTGGACGCTGTTTGGGCTCCGAGTGCCAGCAGCAGTTCATTACCGTAAAGCTGCATTTGTGATTGAGAGGGGCGGGGGTGTTTGGGGTTTGGATAAAGGGTTGCATAATTGCCCAATGAAACTGGCTAAAAGGCTACTCACAATTCATCCGGGCAATTGACGGGCTGCTCCAGACGATAGCCGGCAGCCAAATAATTAGTAAGCTCAAATATGTCCACCTCCTCGTGCGGCATCTGGGCCAGTGTGACCAGCTCCCAGTACAGTACGCCCAGAGACCAGACGTCGCCCTGCGTGGTATAGATCTTCTTCTGCAGCGACTCTAGCGACAGCCACTTGAGCGGACGATTCTCATTGTCGCCAAGGCAATCGTAATCATCCGGGAAGAGATCGCGCGAGAGTGCGCTATCGCAGATCTTGACGTATGACTCCTCATCGACGCTGTGTGGGAATGTGAGGGTGGTTAATATAGATCCTCTGCCCCGCCTCTAGTAGAGGGCTACTTACTAGCAATTGCGTGTGGCCAGATCCTTGTGCACGATTCCCAGGGAATGCAAGTAGGCCAGGGCCTTGGTAATGTGCAAGCCAAACTCGACCAGCTGGCGGGTGCTGAGCGCCGTGCTCGACTCCCTCGACTTTTGCAAGTAGCTGCAAGGCACATGGAACATAGAGGCAATCATTGGACAAAAGAATTTCGCAGGGCAGCTTACATCTTCAGGTTGCCCTTGGACGGATAGGGGTAGGCGATCTCGGGTGGGCCGGGCAGCTCGGTGTTGGCCAGCAGGGGCGCCAGTATATGCTGATGGCTGACGCCAATTAGCAGCGAGGCATCCTGCAGCAGGCAGGCCACCTGCGTCAGCGAGGCGCCGTCGATGACAGTCTTTACCAGGGCATCGCACGTCTCGCCCAGCTTGCCGGCATAGATGCGCCCAAAGGTGCCCTCCTTAATCAGCTGCTCGTAGCTCAAGGCGCCGGGCTGCACGCTGGGTATGCGGCGCAGACGCTCCTTGGTCTTATCGCCGTGCCCGTGACTAGCTACTGTGATGGTGCTGCCGGTGATGCCGGCAATGCCACCAAAGAGGCTGCCGCTGCCGTTGCCACGACTGCTCTTTGGCGTGGACATGCTGCAGGGCTGTAAAAGGGAGAATGAGAATGAGAGAGAGAGAGAGAGAGAGAGGGGGGATGAGATAAGAAATACTTAAAGGAAGGAATTATGGGTTCATGGCTTAAATTTTGAGCAGGAATGTCTGTGAAACAACGTATAGAAAACTTCAAGAGAGGGTGCTGGTATGTTTTCTTAGGGAGTGAATCTGCGATTTAAAGAAAGGGTTCAATAGGTGTGTACTACCCAAAATAGCAAAGAGAGAGAGAGAGAGAGAGAGACATAGACTTAGAGAAAGCTCCACCACAACCGTCTGGTAGAGTAAAGTAGAGTAGAGTCTGTGATTACCTGCATGGGCTAGCAAAAAAGTTCCTAAAGAGAATTTCTCTGTGATTCCCAGGCGGTTTATCGAAATGATTTATAGAGAGTTCTAATAAAACCCTCTTTCCCTTTGCTTGCCTTAATTATATTATAATCGTAGATAACATTTACCAGCGAAACCTTTTCACCTGCTGTATGCCCTAAAACCTTAACCCATGCAGGAGCTCAAAGTGTTTTCTATTATCATATAAAACGAAACTCTTTTGGGGGCCAATTGATGAAGCTGGGGGCAGCTTGGGGCTGGGGTCTCACAGTTGGATATTACACATGGAGGGGACTCAATGGAAACGCAATTTCATCAACCGGATTTGCATCTTTCAGTTTGCATCCGTTTACCGTTAGTCATGCACTTGGCTGCGCTTCGTTCATTCATTTTAATGAATTGAGTTCCGTTTCCGCTTGAAGGAACTGCTGATGTTGCCAACTGGCTGGCAGTTGACGTTGCCAACGCCATCAAACGCCTGCTGCCTGCTGCTTGCTGGCTGCGCCATAATTTGTGTGTGGCCCTCGGGGAGGAGTGGCAAAGTAGTGGGTAGACGGACCAAAGGGAGGGGAGCGACAGGAGAGGGGATAGAGGAAGACTAGCTCTGTATCCGCCAGGACAAGCCGTAGTTGTCTTACGGCATGAATAATTTATTGGTTGGCAAAAAGCTTTAATTCGTCGAGCATTATGTTTGCATAGCCTTGTGCCAGGAGCCACTAGGGGCCAGGGAGGCCGGAGGAGCAGAAGCCAAGCCCTAGACCAACACGAACAACAACACGGCACGAAGGCATGAAGGGCGCAGCTGTAGGAAATTGCGAGATGAGTTGTATAAACAACGTTTTTCCCGGTCGGAAACGGAGGGATAGGGAGCACGACGGGCACTCAAGATGTATAAAGAAGATAGCGCGACAACACAGCAGTAGCAGCAGCAGGAACAGCAGCAGCAGGAGTAGCAGGAGTAGGAGCAGAAGCAGCTCCTTAGCCATTGCCAGCAGCTCATTTATTTTCATAAAATTCACACAGCGAAAATCATTTACCCGCCCGTTGAGCTGCATGGGTACCTAGAGAGCTCTAGGGGGCTCGGGGGCTAGGGGCGGCTGCTCTAATAAACTCCTAGAAAAATCTCTTCATTTCTTTCTTAATTTGGTGTGGAAAATTTACATAAATGTTGGCTATAACGGTCGAGCCACCTGAGACAACTGTCCAATAATTTTCGTTTATTAAAAGTAACAGCTTTATTTGGAGCACCGGCGTTACATGTGGTCCACTCTATGGCAGTGCCAGAGGGAGTTAAACCAGCGATGGGCAACAGCAACTTTGACAGCAATAAAAACAATAGTTGTTCGCCCATTGTTAGTGAATTTCATTCATTATTGCCTTTATTGCCTTTTCTGGCTGCCCCTGGCTGTCTATTCTGCTGTCCGTCCGTCTGTCTGTCTGTCTCTCTTCTGGTCTGTGCTGTGTTGTCCTTTATTTTATTTGTTCCTGCTCGTTGTTGCTGTCGCACAAAGAAAATTCAATTAAAACGCAACAGTATCGCACTCCATCATCAAAGCTCCAACTCTAGCTACTGCGAGTGCGACTGCTGTTGGTGTTGCTGCTCCTGCTGCTGCTGCTGCTGCTGCTCCTGCTGCTGCTCCTGCTGTATGTCCTGTCCGCTGGTTCAAGCTCATCAACGCGCTCGCTGGTCCCCTCGTCAGCGGCTGCTCGTGAATGCGACGCTGGCGATAAATCCTTGTCGTCCAGCTGGCCCAACGACATGCAAAGCGCCTCACACACACACACACAGAAAGGCAGAGAGAGAGAGAGAGAGAGAGATGGAGAGAGGAGGAGCTGTGTACTACAGCGACAAGCAACAATGTCACCGACAGGCACAACAAAAGTGTCTGCGGGCTGCACCGGCGTCGCTTTTATGACCCTAACTAAGACAGAGCGAGAGGCAAAGGGAGAGCGAGAGGGAGAGGGAGAGGCTGGTACTTCCTTTGCTTGTTCGGCTTGTAGAAACAAGCTAAAATTCCACATATACACATAGTTGTATATGTATATGTGTGTGCATACATATATCAATTTGCGTGTTTTTATTGGCTTTTGTTGTTCTTAGCATTAGGCGGGGCGAAGAGGTTGCCTCCCCTAATGAGCAGAGTTCAAGTGTAATTAGATTTTATGTAAGCAGCTTAACATTAAACGCAGTGTTGGATAATGCAGCAAACTTTGTGTGAATTGAATCAATGCAGAAAATGAAAGTGGCACGAAAAGCGTGTTAAATTTAATTAGAAAGGTAATGCGGAAAAGGTCTTTAAGTGCTGCTCTATGCGATTTTAAGAAGAACTATAGGAGAAACTACTAGAGTAGAGTTGTTCTAATGGGAAGGGAAAATGAAGAGAAGTAAAGTCTGTTTTACAGATGTATTAGGTTAATCTGATTATATATGGACGGAATGGGAAATTCATGTTTGGGCTTGCTCATTTACTTTAATCTATGCGAGACTGAGCCATACGTGAAACTCTCTAGCGATACCGTTGGATAAATGCACAATCCTCATCATCAGCGCGTGTTGTTGTTTCTATTGGAATCGCGTATTGCCGTTTGGGGCTGAGCAGGAAGCAAAGCAGACGAACTGTCTACAATTAGATTAGCACTTCTTAAGAGGAGTTGGAATGCTTCCAGTTGGTTTCATCTATAACTATATCTTGATCCTATACAGTATTTATAGCTGAAAAGACTGCGCGTTTCTATGTAGAAACGTACTATGAATAGACATATGATAAAGGAATATCATACTCTGTGTAAGAAAGTGAATAACAAATGAATGATATATGTAGCTAGACTTGTGTAAACTCTAGATGGAGTTATGTGACTATCAAATCTCCTTCGTCCCATCACAAATCAATCAAAGAGCTTGACTACGCAGATGAGCTAGAGTACACCTTCTGTCCAAGCTTTATGTGCTCTGAAGCATAAGCCACATCAGCATATTCAAATATTGCAATTGGAATCCTTTGACCTTTTCTTCATTAAATGCGAGCCAATAACCGAGAGTTGCTCTGGCCATGGTTCAGTCTGGTGAAGTTCGTTTTGGTAAAAGCACATTTAAGCTGAATCGCATTCCCTTTGTTTTCGATCAAATAGCCAACTGATGCCAATTCGTGTGTCAATGGAGCACTTTCGACTGCATGCATGTGCGTTAGCAGATGAGGAAGAAGAAGAATCAGAGTGAATTAAGCCAACCAGAGCAACAGCAGCAGCAACAGCAACAGCTGCAGCACCTGCAAAAGCCCACAGATAGTCAGCTTCAATGACTGGAAAAAGCTAAGCTATTTTTGTGAGAAATATTAAAAGTGCACGTCAAATAGACAATATTGCCATGGCTTTTGCTGCTGCAGTTGCTGTTGCTGTTGTTGTTGTTGCTGTTGTCTCTTATTGCTTAAACTGAAAATTGGAAAACATCCGTTTGCTGTCAACTGTCTGACTAGTCGCAGTTCTCTCATCTCGCTTTGCATTGACACTCAGATGAGGCGAGATGAGCCCAGGGCAATATAGCAGAGCAAAGAGGGAGTGAGAGAGAGAGCTAGGGGTTGGGTTGGCTTTTTGGGAGGGGGGCAACTGCTTGTTAGTATAAATTTGCACAAATTTAAACTGGATGTGGCTCGGGTGTCAGAGCAACAGCGACCGGGTGGGTGAGTGGGCTGGGCGTTATTGTTGCCAACAGAGGCGACACTTGGCAACACATCACCAAAAAACAGCAGCAGCAGCAAGAGCAGGAGTAGTAGCAGCAGCAGCAGCAGCAAAAGCAGCAGCAGGAATAGCCGCAGCAGCAGCAAGAGCAGCAGCAGCAGCAGCAACAGGAGCAGCAGCAGCAGCAGCAGCAGCAGCAACAGCAGGAGTAGCAGCAGCAGCAGCAGGACTTGCCGCAGCAGCAGGACTTGCCGCAGCAGCAGCAGCAAGAGCAGCAGCAGCAGCAGGAGTAGCAGCAGTAGCAGGATTAGCAGCAGCAGTAGCAGCAGCAGCAGCAGCAGTAGTAGTAGCAGCAGCAGCAGCAGCAGCAGCAGCAGCAGAAGCAACAGCAGCAGCAGCAGCAGCAGGAGTAGCAGCAGGCGCTGCAACAGCAGTGTGACTCAAAGCGTTGGCCATGTTGACGTTTGGTTTGCAGCTGTTTGGCTTTGTTGTGACATTTCTAATGACAACACAACACGGCAGGCAGCGGAGGGGTGGGTGGCTTCGTTTGTCAGGGGGTTGGCTATGCAGCGTAGCTGCTGGTCTGCAAATGACATGTACACCACACCAACACACACAGCACACACGAGACACACACACACACACACACGTGCATAAGCAGACATACACAAATTTCGGCTCACACACTTGACAGGCGTCTGATTTGTTTATGTCACTTGCAGCTCTATGGCTGCCCACACACATACACACTCTACTACACACACACACACACACACACACACAAGCACACTTCCTGCCTCTGCACAACCACAACGTTGAGTGGCGCTCCCTCGCAACTGGTTCGTAATTAAAAACGCTTGATGACAATTTTGCCAACATTTCGTGTTGCAACCAAAATGCAGCTGAAACTTTTAGCCAGCAACAGCAACAACAACAACAACAAACAATGGCGACAGCAGTGACAAGCACAGTGACACGAGAGTGCGTAAAA